TTTAGTATTCAGTATCAACCATCTTCTCTGTTATGACGCATATTAACCTTGTATTAGTAATTGTTGTCAAAATGCAACATACCTCGTTGTCATTTCCCGTGGACATGTGTTATTGTGTTAGGCCTACTGTTTACGCACTTCCTTCATCAATATTCATGAAAAGACTGAATTCTTAATTCCTAAATATTGTTTAATTGTTTTGTTATAACAAAGATCTACAGTACGATCTTGTGGAAAGTATTATTTTTCAAAATTAAAACTATAAAAAAAAAGTTATCTAAAACTGAATGAAATCTAGCAGGGACTATATTCGGCGGAATAATTGCATTTCATCAAATACAATAACCGTTTTTAACCAGTTATTATTTGGTACGGATACGCAGCCCAAGTGACCAATCTACTGGGGATGCTGGTTGATTCGATACGCAAGAGCATGCTCTACGTATGAACAATTTCTTAAACGAGGTAAATTATTGACAAGCAAGTTGATGAAACAAGAATATCAACAGTCTCGTTTAAAGTCATGATTTCGTAAATTCTATGGTCGATACAATGACCTTGTCAGCAAATACAATTTATCATTGAACGAAATGCTGACTGACGTTTTTCATACCAATTGTTAGTCCATTATTTATACACTGAATTGACCACGGATTTTTTCCATTATTTCCTGATTATGACAACGAGCACACGGCGGGTGTGACCGGTCGGCAGGGGATGCTCACTCCTCCATGGCACCTGATCCCACCTCTGATGTTTCGGAGGTCCGTGTTTGCTCTGCTCTTATTTTGTATATTTGTTTAATGGACGTTGAGATTGAATACTGTTCGTTATTTCCATATCCTTCTTTAAGCCTATAATAGGTATTTTATGCAACTGCTGAATTTTCTCAATTTTATGTGTTTTGCAAACTTTCTGTTTTAATTTGTTTTGTTTTTAAGACCGATTTCCGTTTGTTAACTTTATCCTCAATTTGCCAGTATCCCTTAAGTTCGTCAAAATCAAAATGAATCGAGTACACCTGACAAACCGGACGTATTTTATAGCGTTTTTGATTTCTCCTTTAACTATTTGTTATAAATTTTTGAATTTAACATGTAACATTTAGTAGTTCTCTTTTCCTTTTGTTCCTATCACTTTATAACTTTTTTCTTGGTTCTGAAGAAGAGACAGAGCGTCCCGAAAATTTGACAATTTTTTTTGTTCGTATCGTTGGTCATTTTTAGTGATTTTATATATACATACAATGTATATCGTTAATGTGTTTAAGGGAGGGTGCATGTGTGTATGTGTTATTCTTAATGCATATTATACAATTTGTTTTTAGATTATCTTGACTTCTGGCTTGACTCCATAAAGTCGTTTAGTGGACCTTCTGCACAAGTTCTTGCGGTGGCTACGCATACAGAAGGCAAGACGGGAGAGGTATTTCACAGTTGTTTGATGACTGTTTCCTAACACGTAAACAGTAAAGTATCCCTAGTAAATTGCATCAAAGTATCATCCGATAAATAACCTTTAATTACTTTTAAAAAAAATATTTACTATTTACCAATGTTGGAGTTAAAGTTTGAGAAAGAATACGTTGAATAGCAGCTGCTTGATTTTTAGGTCAACTGAGTAAACTCAGGTGACCTATTGCTATCCGTTTTCGTCCGTCGTCGTTCGCCGTGCGTCGTGCGTTATCATTTGAACATTTTCAGCTTCTTCTCTGAAACCACTCAATCAATTTCAACCAAATTTGGTACAAAGCATCTATGGGTGAAGGGAAACAAAAATTGTGAATTTCATGATTCCTGTCCCCAGGGGCCTGAGGGGTGGGGCCAAAACCACTAAAATTAATGCAATCTTTAAAAATCTTCTTCTTACTCCTGGACATCAAGCAGTCAAACTGTTGTTATGATTGTAATCAGCATTGAGTCCTCTACTAAAATTGTGAAATTCATGGTCCCAGGTTTATGGGTTCTAGTGCTAGGACGGGGCTCTATTGATTATATAGTGAAAATGTATTATTTCTCTAAAAATCTTCTTCTCTGCTCCTTGGTATCAAATAAACTAAATAAGTACATAGTTTGGATAAGAAAGAATGTCTTTTGCCAAATTGTGAATTATTTGGCCCAGGGTCAGGGGTTCTAGTGCTAGGGCTGGGCTCTATTGATTATAAAGAGAAAATGCAGAATTTGTTTGAAAATCTTCTTCTCTGCTGCTGGGTATTTAACAAATTAACTAAGTACCAAGTACCAAATGCAAATTAACGAAAAGTTATGATGAGCAAGAATGTTTCTTCCAAATTAAGGAATTTTATGGCCCCAGGGTCAGAGGTTCTGGTGTAAGGGTGGGGCTAAATTGATTATATTGTGAAGTATTAATACATGAATTCTTTGAAAATGTTCTTCTCTGCTCCTGAGTATTGAGTAAACTAACTTAGTATATAGTTATGACGAGCAAGATTGTCTCTTTCAAAATTATGAATTTTATGGGTCCCAGGGTCAGGGGTTCTGATGTTACGGTGGGGCTCTTTTGATTCTATAGAGAAAATGCAGAAATTGTTTGAAAATCTTCTCTGCTCCTTCTTTTATAGCTATGATGAGCAAGGGCCATTCTTCCTGAATTGTGAATTTCAACGCCCCTGGGTCAGGGTACCATAGGGGGGGGGGGCTCTACTTATAAACTGAAAATGAATTAATTGATTGAAATCTCCTCCTTTCTATTAATCAAACATTTTTGACAAGCAAGGGTGCCTTTTCCAAAATTGGGAAATGTATGGACCAAGGATCAGGGATTCATGCGTGGTAGTGGCACCATACTGATTATTTCTGAATATTACTGATTAGTCGAAATGCATTTTTTTGTTCCCCTACTCTGTATATCCGTATTAAGTAACCAAACTAAACATGCTAAGTGTATAGTTATGATTAGAAATGGTCCCTCTTTCAAAATTGTGAATGCCATGATGTCTAGTTTAAAACATGAACCAAAGTCAATTGTTGTTAAGTTGTTGCATAATGCTCAGGTGATCTATAAGGCCCATTGGCCTCTTGTTTTTTTTTCATTTAAACGTTAAAATCACAGTGATGCAATTTAAAGGATTGATTAATTGTATGTTGTTTAACAATCCTATCGAGAATTTTTCACTTATATAGAGACGTCCCGGTATGCCCTTGAAGGCTTCAAATTTAGACCTTTATCGTGCCGACGCCTACAGTGACACGGGACCTACGTCTTTAAGGTCTTATCTGAAAGACCCTTGTCTTTCACTTCATGTGTCGAGCGCTTGGCGAAGGAACAGTTACTACCTATGCTCATGTCTTAGGTATGACGCGGCACCGCGAACGATAATTGAACCTGGGCCTTAGGATCACGAAGCGAACGCTCTAGACGACCTCTTGGCTACCATGACTGGTCCAATATAAAAAGAATCTTTTTGACTCATATTTTACATTTGCTTCATCAAAACTCTTTCTGCTATGGCCCTATCAAAATTCCTATTTTTTTATGGGAGATATATTTTGACTCGATCACTATGGCTCGACCAATCAATGAACGTCCTGCGAAGCTATAGTCATTAAGGACATATGCAACGTATCGTACCTACTTATAGTTTTTCAAGATATTATAAATTTAAAATTGTAGTGCCAACAGATGTTCATAGACAAAAAATTAGCAGGTTTTGAAAATTACAAAATTATATTCTAGATGTAGTGTATCCATATTTGTTTTAGAAGAAGTGTACAACGGTATATATAGACATTAAAATTGTATCACATTGTTCCTTCAAGTATTGGAACTTTTTAAATCCAGGGAAAAATACGATAACGTTCTAAAACGTTGAGTATGCCCTTAGCAAGTAATTCATTTTACATGATTTTTGTCGGTATTGTCCAGGAAATTGAGAACCAATTTTGATGACTGGTTTCAATATTTTCAAAACAGGAAAAAGACTCTTTTTGGGAGACTCTTTGGACATTAGTACCAGAGGATGATAAGACCAGGCTTTATGACAGGGACTTTGCATTAGGACTAATAGAGATGAATGAGGAAGCGAAGCATGTTCTGCACAGTTTAAAAAAATCAATTTCTGAAGTAGTATCACAAGGCATGGATACGAAATTAGAAGTTCCATCAGCCTGGGCACTTCTTGAACATCTCTTACAAACAAAGGAAAAGCCTATCTTGTCAATTAGTGACATCAACAAAGAGAATAAGAAACTTTCAGAAGAATATCAATTGAAAAGTCAAGAAGAAATATTTGATTTTCTGTCTTTTTTCCATGGACATGGATTGTTACTCTTTTTTAAGGAGGAGGGACTGAGAACCCACGCAGTTCTAGGCATACAGTGGTTTTCTAACGCATTCAGTAAGCTTATTGCTGACAAGGAACACATCAACAGGGACTGCAAACGAAGATATATAGAAGATTGGAACCATTTCAATGCGACGGGACATCTGAGCAATCCACTGTTAGATTCTCTGTGGAAAGAAGAATCGTCATATATAGAACATAAGACAATACTTATGTCATACATGGAGAGATTACGGATGTTAGTCAGCATTGAAGGAGAATCCTCCTGGTATGTCCCCTGCATGAATAAAAAGCCTTTCACACACGGTCTCTTAAAACAGACACTAGAGAAATCGTCCATTCTGTGTTTTCGATTTACTTCCTTTGCCATGTTTGTCTTCTACAGGCTTATTGCATATTGCATGAGTTTCCTGAAGTGGAAAGTTCAGCTCGATGGGTACAAAAGTCAATGTCTGTATCACACAGCGGCGATTTTCGAAACCGAAAATCACACAGTTACCGTTGGTATAATAAATAACGATATCCAGGTGCAGGTATTGCGGATTAATGATCTACAGCTCAAGGTTTCCTGCAAAATTGGAAAATCCATTCAAACTGCCTTAACAGAATTGACAGCAACATTTAATGAGAAGAAAACCTTTCAAAAAGGTTACAAATGCCTTAATCTTTTCTGCTGTGAAAAGGATCTAACTTTTATTCCTGAGAATGAACTTTCTGGAAGTCAATGCAATTGTCCTATTGGGAAAGGAAAACACAAGATAGATGTTCAATGGACTTTGGGATTTTGGGAAGATGTAAGTAAAATTATATTAGCTCAACTGACCAAGTGATCAGATCAGTATGTAAATTAGTAAATTTATAAGTTGTTAGTTTGCCGAAATATGGTTATGGTTTTATCAATTATAGGAATAAAAAAAACCAGAATGATATAAAACAGATGTTTTAGACCCTAGTATTTTCTATTCCAAGCCCAGTGGGATATAGTAAGTTGAAATACCAATGAAAATAGCTATTGTTACTTGATGAATGTCGATATATACATTGTATATATATATATATATATATATATATATATATATGTGTGAATGTAGAATTAAAATATGTAGAATCTCTTTTCACTTAGAATTTTAAATAAATTCTACTTCATAGGAATATAAAAGCAGGTCAAATAATAAAAGAGTACAATTAGTACCTTTTGGAATTCAAAACAGTTGTAGGCAGTTGTTTTTATATTGAAACTGACTAAGGAATGTTAGGTTTACTTGACCAATACATATTACTCGATCTGGTTAGGTTTAATAATCGATCGTATTCGGATAATGATTTTGGATATTGAATTGGATGGCGTTCTTGCACATCAAAATTGCAAAAATTCCATATTGTAATATGGAAGGTGAATTAGCGATTGCAATAAGAAGCGATTTTTCTATTCTATTTCAATACAATAAAAAAATTGATTACTTGAACATCATGCATATTCTTCTAATATCCTTGAAATGGTTGTGTGAATGTAAGAACAAATGAGAAAGTCATGATGGATGTGTTTATCAAAGTGAAATTGTCTCTAATGAGGCTTGCAGGAAAGAATCAAAATTTTAATCTCGATCATTGCAGTCTACCAGATATTTGCTTTCGGATAACATCTTTCATTTTTAAAAACATTGTAGGTGTAGGTATTAACACATAACTGATCACATATCAATGAATCTATCTTATCTATACTTTTCCCCTCTCATTTGCTTTCCTAAATCTACTGATTGAAAATGAAATCTTGTTTTCAGAGAAATTCCAGTTGTCCCACAGTGCCAGTAGCTCCCAGACCAAACTTAGATGGCCGATCAAGATTTGCTAAACTTGGAATGGCAACAAACGATGTGTTGAATCAGGCATATAAAGACATCATCGAGTTAGAAATCCTTCCTACTGTTTGTTATATAAAGGTTCAATCACTTCCAACTAAATTACAGCTGTACCCAGAGCAAGAACGTCTCTTGCAAGACGCCCAACATACTGGGTATAAGAATTTTGATATTTCCTTATCATATAAGATAATCAGAAACGTTTGCTCAAAGATCCCTAAACCAACAAAAGGCAGATGGGGACAAAACAAGATGCCTGCACCGGGAGAGACTACAGTGGGTGATGATATCGAGAGAATTCGGTTAATGCGAAACAGTTTAACGGGACACGTGAGCTCAGCGTCCACTTCTCAGACAGAATTCGATGACACGTGGTCTTTAATGGCCGGTATTTGCCAAAGATTAGAAACCTTCACGAAGAAGAAGTACATGGATAATTTAATTTACATTGAAAATCTCATCTTAAAAGAGAAGGATGAAGATGATATCATAGAAAGGCTTAAAAAGGAACATGACCGTGAATTGTTGGAGAAAATCAATGCGGGTGTGCAAGAACTTACGACAATTTGGAAGCCTGAAAGCAGAGATTCTGCAGATTACGATTATTATTCGTGATTATTTTGAATGAAGCCTGTACTCATATTCAATTGTCAAAGCTCGATATTTGCCGTATTCATTAAAAGTGACCGATCAACAACACAAGTGATATTTTAATTAAATCGAAATTTGGAATCTCAGTAATCGAGAAGCTTCATATTTACAGTGTATTGACATTTGTGTTAGAAAAGAGCCATAGCGCATTTGATTGTCACTTTCGCCAATTCTAATGCTGATTTTTTAAATACATTGTTAAGTTCCCTCATATGCATGATAGGTACAAAAATCGGTCAGTTTATATTGAGAATATAGTAAATACTGAGGCACCCCCCTCAACAATAACAAACTGTAGCAAAAGACCATCCTTTACCAGAAAAACAACTTCTGAATAATTTTATTAGGATATGACTGCACTTCATTACATTTAGATAACTTTGGTTAAAGGTGGTCCTCATATTGAAAATATTAAAAAAAAACATGTAAATGATCGTTGGTTCGATTCTCACAGTGTGTGTGTCTTACCAATACTTTTATTTTTTTTATGTGTATTATTCCTACATTTTTCTTTTATTATTTTATTTTACATGTATAAATAATGTAAGAGATTACTATATAATTGGAAACATGTAGTTTGATCTGAATTGAAAAGGTGTAACTATAAATAGAAACAGGTGATTTCCTTTTAAATATACTTGAGTAGGCTGTGTCGTCGGTAAGGCAATATGGCTCTTTCATTCAACAAAGAATTCCTTGAACATATATTGGAAACAAAAGTTCGTTTACCATGTAATTGTAAACATTTCTATCTCAAAATGATCATGGTAATATTTTTTAGAATATGCTTCACACGGCTGAACTATGATCCGAAGCCAATGACATTTAAACTGACGTCATTAAGGGGGATGTACAAGCCATATTGATCTAGTCTGGTGTAAAATAAGAAATACCAAGAACGCGCTTAATACTCTACTAAACTAGCCCAAAGTTACTCAAAGTGCTAATACACTAATTACCTACTGTTAGAGACCAAAATAAGTAAACAATTAAGTTTATTTTGTTTTAATTAGGAGGAAATTAATCATGTTAGAACTGCGCAGCTACAGCATTCACGAAATGATAAATGCATTGAAAATGGTGTTAGTTTGATTCATTGATAATATGGCTACAACCATTTGTTTCGCTTTTTACTTGTCATTATCCATAATTCTTGAAAATTTGATTTTTCATATAGGTGTCTTCCTGAGGCCATGTGTTTATTTCGTCCGTCATTCCTCTGTCACTCAGAATTCAAATAACATTGATTTTTAGAATAAATGCGACCATAAAAACATCAAGACAAGAAATTACTAAGTAATTTAATAATCATAAGGTTATATAATTTACTACTTTTATATGTTGCAACGCATTGTCTGATTTATGAAAAAACGTGATTTTAACCTCACTCTAGCAAATCGGGAAAAACTGTTCTGTTTACAGCTCGAGTTTCCTCGTTAATATTATTCCACTGAGCACGTGGTTAGCATGTGCATATATCTGCTGTGGATAGATCCGTTTATTACCATGATTATATTTGATTTTTCATGGAACAAGTCTTGATAATTGGTTGGTTTCTTTAAACTCAAGAAAAAAAGATAAAATGTCCTAAACATATGTGTTTACGGCGGGTCTTTTTTCTGTGGCGATAGAAGTTATTTTCAAATGGGGCACTGCAAGGAGAATGCTTAGCATTTAATTTGAAAATGTTAAACAATTTGCGGTGCATGAAAAACAAATTGTTATTACATGTCTTAGATTCGAAAAGTTGGTACATATGTCTATTTTGTTTAGAAGTTAGATAGAAAAAATAGGCAGTTATAGGATATCCTTAAGGCACCTCACATAAATAGCTAGATTGTTTGCAATGGCCCACACACTGTATGGAGTAATGTTTGGACACAAAAACGCATCACGTCTCATTATGTTGACAACGTTGTAAGCGAGATGAGCTCCAAATCGAAGAAATTGTATCCGTTTACTGTTGAATAAACGCGTGTTCACGACTTTCAACCGCATCAACATTTAGGAAAATCATCACTGTAGAGGACAGAGCCATGATACCGAAATAAATTAATGGTTTAAAGTCCAGAAATAGGTGCTGAAGTGGGAGGGGGTATTTTTTCCAAGATGTCCGCTTGCGTCCCTTTAAGAGTTTATGTATATAGGTGTAGTACTTTTTTAACAACATTATTTTTCTTGCCTGATCATGTCAGAATCTTTATTAAAGCAACTTCTAGAGTGTATTTAATGTTGATACAAATTAAAAAAAAAATTATTTTACATTTATCAATCCGGAAGACAAGCTCCTATGGATCTACTGCCTAGAAATGGCCCGACTCATTCTTTTACATCTCATTACACAATATTTTTTTCTTTTTCTTCCATCAACAATTCTGTTTAAATTTTAAGGAATTTTTTTCTCACCTATAAATACGGACCCAATAAAACACCAAACGTCATTTTAAAGATGGTATAAAATAATTAAATATGTTGATTTTTTTTTCTTTACTTTGTATAATTGTAATTTTGACAATATGGGCAAATAGAAAAAAAGTTTTTTTTTTATCCATTTAATCTCCTAACCCACTCTGAATGATTTCATGCCTTTTCAAATGTTGCTCCGCTGTAATGAAAATTGTAAATGCATGTTTATTTGACTCAGTATACGAGGGGTGATCAAAAAGTAAACGATATCTTAGGTATTTGATATAGTTATATTATTGTTGAAATATTCAAGTATTTTTCAAAGTGTACATTGCTTTCACCGGGCAACATAACAAGTATCATATTTAACCATGCATCTGCCTCCCTTCACTAAAACGATCTATCCAATCATTGATTGAAATTATAGGAAGCCATTTATTAAACTGTGAACAAATTCTTATACGCTACTTCAAATGCATTTCTAAGATATACATGTGCAATAAATATTATAGTCGTTTGTTGCACGAGTTCCACTGAGACAACCATTTTTCGTCACAAGTACCTGCATAATGACGTCATTTTCAGATTGTGACATCACAAACAAGGAGCAAAACTTCAGTATATGCTATTTAGAGAACTTGTGTTTGGCTATGTATCTTATCTGAATTGTGGTTTTGTAGATATAGAGATAGTTCGCGAATTTTTTGATAACCCCTCGTACTAGTAGGTACTAAAACAAGGTCATTCGTATCGATTTTATGTGTCTAATTTCTTTGTGTCTCATTGGTGTTAATTAAAATTTTGATATATAATATGATTTATCTGTGGCAAACTTGCAAACTCTTAATTTTTAACTTTGGTGGTGCTCATTTTTCCTTACCTGGAATCAAAGAATTTAAGTTTTTTTTATATCAATACGTACACTATTTAACAACCGTTCGTTAATAATGCTAAATAAATTACTTCAAGCCACACTATAACACCTTTCCTCTTTTAAAAGTGTTCATATTATTTGAAATATTTTGCAACTGTAATTCTCTTCTACATTTAAAGATTGTTATGTCCCTCCATATTAAGAAGAGGTATGGAAAACAAAATTCTGTGCTAAAAATAGACCACGTGCTGCTATCCATGAACTACTTTCATGGTTCTTTACACACTCTTTTTGAAGACAACGGTACCTTGTTTTGAACTTGAAATTATCATATAAAAGTGCAAAATTTAGACATTTTCTCAACAAATGGTTGTAGAGAGAACATTAATGCACAGTTTGCATATTTTTTTGGATTTTTTAAGGCCCTGCTGAATTCTGTAGCTGCGCAGTTCTAAGGAGCATATCAAAAGCATTTTTCTGCAAAAGTATAGATTATATATGCACAACATGCATTCAGTTATGCATATTTATTGTATCTTTATCATAAAGACTTAAAAGATCAAAATATAATGTATTTTAGCCATTTGAAGAAATGTTTACATTTTGTTTTCACTGCACTGAAGGTGGCCGGACATCCCCCTTAAAGATTTCAAATTTGACTGCTTTTATGACAATTTTGTATGCTATGAATTTAGGATTTATTGTGTATATGTCCAAATAGCATAATTGTAAATAGTTGGAACTTTTAATATCGCTATTTTGTTCTGTTTTACTTTTTAGCTCACCTGATCATATTTTGTCCGTCCGTCCGTCTATCTCTCTAGCTGTCCGTCTGTAAACTTTTCATATTTTCGACTTCTTCTCAAGAATGGCTTAGCCAATTTTGACCAAACTTGGTACAAAGCATTCATGGGTTAAGGGGAATTTAAATTGTTAAAAAAGGGGCCAAGTCTCCTCACAAGGGGAGATAATCAAGCAAAGATAAACAATAGGGTGGGGTCATTAAAAAATCTTCTTCTCAAGAACCACCGGACCAGAAAAGCTGAAACTTACGTGGAAGCATCCTGTGGTAGTGTAAATTCTATATTGTTCAAATCATGACCCCCAAGAGAAGGGCGGGGCCACAATGGGGAATCAAAGCTTTACATAGAAATATATAGGGTGCATACCCCCCCTCCCTTTTTGCAAATACTATTTACATACACATATACTGTATAATATATACATGATTTAGGCATTGAAAATTTGGGTTTACCTATTTTTGTTGGTTTAGTCCCCCCCTACCCCCCCCCCCACTTTCAATTTGTTTACAACGCCTATGTACACGGTTCATAATGTTGAATGTAAGCATACAATAAATGATACATATATGATACATAGCTACACAAATTTCTCTCAGAACCATTAAACTATGGTTTGTGTTTACATTTATAAATAGTGAATTTAGTACATATACTAACTTTGAGAGGATATAATTGTCAATCAAACGTTAGGGAGAGGGCAAAATAAGTTTTAAGAATTTGTGCCCAATCCCATTGTATATATATATATATTACAATAAAATATGTTCAATGTCAATTCAATGTTTTCAATGTGAAAAGTTTTCTGAAAATCACGTACAATTACACTATGTAGCTCTGACTTTCGTTTTTAACAAATCTTGTGCATAAAAACCAAACTAAACCATGTCGGTTTAGATATATAACATATCTTGTGTAGCCTTACATTGTTATATTCTATTAATGATTATGCAATTATATTTTTAAAACAAAAAAACTTTTAAATAAAAAAAATTACTTAAATAAAGAAGAGTTAAATTGAAACCCTATTCAAATCAGACACATTAGTCGCAACATTGGCTCTGCATAATTATGTAAGAACTATTTTTATTTTTATTTAATTTATCTAACTCTCTTTAGATATGATTAGATTGTTAAACCTTCACTACATTTATATTTTTTTAATTTATCGCATCATTTACACTCAGTAATATTCTTTTTTTTTAACTTAAAAAAAACACATGTTTGGAAGATTTTGAAGTATTCGTGAAAGTAATCTTTTAATTAAGTATTTTTAAAAATACTCAGATATCATCCGCCCCTTTGATCTGCAAGCTATGGCAAGCTATGGGATATTAAGACCTTCTCTGTTAATCTGTTAAACACAAGAGAGATTCGCTCCCTTAATTAACCATCCGTTCCTCAATTTTCATTGATATATACATGTATATAGAATCCGCCCCTGATTGATCCCTGCTATAGATTCCCAGTGTATAGTCAGAGTCTGCCTGGCTTGTTGTCCGTTAACATGTTGATTCCATTACACGGAATAAGAAAACTCTAATGAAGCGAACACAGGACTCACGCTAGAGGCTGCAGAGGTCGTTCTCAGGAGACAGAATTACCCCGACCTCAGCTGACAGCGTGGGAGATCCGGGGCCTACATTTACCACGCTCTGAGTGTGAACCCCGCCCCTCTCCGCCTTACTTTAGTACGGAGTCGTGGGTGGTTTGATCGGACAGGTAAACTCAGGTGGTGACAGACACTCCGACCCCCTGGACCTACTGCCGATGAAGTCTTACTGGAAGGCATTATATGACCGGCAGAGGTAAGTCCCGGGGGGTAGGGGGTGAGGGTAGTTATTTTAAACCAAAGTGCGCTATAATATGCACTAGATCACCGTATACTAATTGATCACATTTATTATTCAGCATCTTTTATCGCGTGAACTAATTGACCACAGCCGGGCTATAATAACCACTATATGCTGGCAATGTTACAGATAAAGCTATACAAAATCTGACCATTACTACGTCGCTAAGACGATGCATTTCATTGGAATTAATTAAAAACGAAACGTGTAATAAAAACCTACAGGTAAAAGTGACATCAAACTTGTCGACATAAATAACATATTAAAATCTGTAGTCTACTTGTAATTATGGAGTATGCACTAAGACTTCTACTGTAAGGTGAGCATTACCTGTGATTCCGTGATTTTGTCGGATTAAGGTGATTTTACATTAATTACGGGTATTATTAATTTGATGCAGGTATTGTTTTATTTTTTCTTACTTCAAAAAAGCCAATACCAGATTTTTTTTATGTTCTCGTTTGTAATTAAGGATTTTCTTCTGGTACAGAATAAATCGGAGATTTGTCACAGTCTAGCGTCAGACATGGTTACCATGACAACTCTAATGCTGTTTTGCTGCCTTGGTACATTAACACACGGTAGGTAAAATCAGGCGCGGATCTTAAAGTTTTCATTACTGTAGGCGATTCTTTTAAGTATATTAGTGCATTAATCATTGGTTAAGACAAGGAATTGTGAAGAGAGCCATAAATAAAAATGAGGCACAAATATTTGCAACTTTTATACGGGTAATTATCTGGACGTTTTTTTTTCCTTTTTTAAATCAGTAAATTTTATTTAATCTGAAATGATTTACATTGTGTAATATTTCTTCCAAATTCTAAATTGAATTTTAAAAAATTATTTAAGAAATTTCAATGAAGTTCAAAAAATGACAGGGATTTTGAAAATACAATGTTATGTTATTAAATCGAGTTGCTTCGTATCTAATTCTAAGCTAATAACATTTATGCAGTTTCACAACCCTTTTCTCGTTACGACAGGAGATGCACGTTTATAATTATGATAAACGACAGCTGTGAATTATTAACTGGTGCTACCTTAACTAAGTGCGCCGAGAGCAGTAGTATTCATTGCTCCATAAAACAAAATGTCTGCATAAACCAATAAACCTACTTGTAACGAAGCTAAATTATATGAAAAGATAAAAGGATGGTCAAACGATACACTCCGGGTCTTTGTTTTTCTGTACCTGTATTGAAATGTCATATATACTTATTTCGTATTTATAACATGCAATGCTTTTTTTATATACAAAAAAACCCACATAAATCAGCTGATTTTATTGGAGGTTTCTGTTGCGGTAGCAGTAGAAGAGTTATCGCCCATTCCCCACTGTAGAGGAATTCTCTGCGTCACCTTTGATCTTACACGCCTGACACATTGTTATAGAGTATCACTCGAGCATTATGTTTAATTTTTTCGCTGTGTGGTGTGTCACGGAATTCAACTTAGCGGTGCGTCACCAGCTTTATCTAATACGGATTCTGATTGTATTCTTAACCTGAAGATGCATATTATATAATCCATATGTCAAGTGCACCGTTACTACAAATAATAAAATTTTACACAAAACGTTCCAGCTAAGTGTCATGACTACCTATGATAAAACCGAATTGAATTCTTTAATTGTCCAATTTATAAAGAAGAGCAAACCATATGTGTAGTCATGCAGCGGGGAAAAATTATATGTGGTTCTATTAACATTCGAAAGAAAATGCACTTTATTATTTATTTTTTTTTAAACATTTTTTCAGTGAATACTGATAATGAAAATCGTGAATCTGCTCCTTAAACTTATAGTGCCGATTTATAAAGTAATTTTTGATTAGACAAATAATACATATACATTACTTCAAAATAACTTAATAATAAACTTCAAAAAAGTTTTTACTTCTATTCAGAATGATTATACATTGTGTATGAAACTGTAATTTTGCATTGTTATTAAAAGTATTGTACTTCAGTTCATTTGAAATACATGTACTGTATGTGTACATAATTTGGCGTATTCAAAATTTAGCGCAGTTAATGGATATGGAGTTGTTGGCATAATCATGAATTAGCGCTACAGATGTCCGTGTCGTATATTCTATTTATGAATGATTTTTTAGCGATATTCATGAATAAGTACATCCTCGTCTGCGCCAAAGCCTCTAAAATATGAAGCCCGTTTATTTAAGTGCACAAACAGTATTATTTTCCTCATAGATATTTTTTTCTATATTTTAATGTATTTGTTTTATCAGAAGACATTACACTGTATGGTTGGTCCTTAAATTCTAAACGATATATGTGTTTCTGAAACACTGATGTCCCCGAATCGCAGCTTATGGCAAGGAATGAATTTTCTCAAATGGATGTCAAACTGCAAAGGTCAAGGTCAAAAAGTCAAACTTGTTAGTACTCAAAGGAAGGTGTTGTCACTAGAAAAACACCTGTTAATATAATTAAATTAATTAAATTAATTAATTAAAGCTCTAGCGGACAGACGGACGGACAGGGCAACATCTATATACCCCGACTGTTCGTTTAATAGCCTGTTCAACACTGAATATCCATACATTTATTTTTAGGTTTAAAGGGAAGCAACTCTACAAAGTCAGAGGACCCTCCACCTGAGGCAGACGACAAGATAATTCTGATCGTTATCGGGGTCAGTGGTGCCGTCATCATCGTCATTGTTGTCGTCGTCATCGTCGTCAAAAAACGAAGGAAAGCCAACAGTCAGGCCCGAAGACGTCCGAAAGTCCGCTACAACAAAGCCTCGGCGGGAACGTCCTAGTGACAGAATGCGTAAAGAGGTGTTCCGAATGGACATGTTACTAAATGTGTAAAAGATAACAATGTGTACGGATATGTTCCTAGTGGTCTTGACCAAAACGTCCAAAACTTTAAGATGTGTACAGAAGTGTTCCGAAAATAGACTCTTATGGATGAATTATTATTTGTTGAATGGTATTTGGAGCTTTGTGTTAATGTGTTAATATGTGGACGGTTGTTCTAAGTGACGCTTTAATTAATGTCAAACACGTTGTTTTATAGGAATGAATGTTACCGAGTTGATAATTGATATTCATATCAACATTTTTTTTTTCATTTTATTGATAAGATCAATCATCATTAGAGATGAAATATATTCACCTCGCCCTCCGTACTCGGTAAATATAATTGTGTTCTAATGTGTTATAGTGTTGACCAAGAAAATCATTTGGTGCTTTAAAATTTCAACTCCACAAGCAAATATTTCAGTTCACGCTCTCCTCAAATAGCCCCACAGAACCCGGAATTATTACAATCAGCAGGATCTCAAATTATATATGAAGACATTAAATGATAGGATAAAATCAGCAGCTTACCTTTATTTAAATTCCATGATGTTGTCGGTGATTGTTTTATGAGCACATGTAAAATTGTAAGATACATGTCAAATATATCAAGTAAGAAAATGTCTTAACTCTGTCACTTACACATTTTCTATCTGTTTGTTTTCCATTCTATTTTATGACTTTGTGATATTTTACCTATATTCTATACACTGTTATCTTATAAGCTCTAATGTTTTAATTGTTTTTATATTGAATAAATTATCCACCCAACTATTAAACATTTTTTTTTTAAAAAAGAGATGACTTTTTTGTTTGATTGCTAGGTTTTTGTTTTCCTACAGTATTTTATTGTAACTAAATGGTATACTAGTGTTCTGAATCTGACGAAAATTTATTTCGAAAATGAATAATCTTTCTTAGATATTTGAAACCCATTCTGGAGAGATAATGATTATAGACAATGAACTCTTTTGTACCCATGGTAATGCTACGTTGCACACATGATATCACACATCATACAATTCCTGAATTTGCAAAACTGCAATTTTCACACTTCAAAAGCATGGAAGTTTCATTACAATTTAAATATATTTATTAACTTGACAAAAACCACATATAGCGAAAGTCATACATTCATTAAACAAATATATAGTCACAAAGATTTTATTATATTGAATGCATCATGAATGAAATAACAAAAATTTCTTGGATTCAGAGGAAAACAAGAAAAAAGAAACTTCAAAGTAATACTAATGGACAAGAACAAAGGCCAAAAAGTCATGTAACCAATGTATAATGGTGATCTACATGTGTGAGGGAAGTGAAATATAACATGCCCTTATACTAATACATATATTAAATTAAGTTCAAGGTCAGCTGAAAGTAGAATTGAAGCACAGAGGTACGGACTTTAATCACGTCATGTCCTGCCCATTAACAACAACGAAGGACTTATAATTATAATTGAGATAATAAGTAATCCTATGCACTGAAAAGCAGAGAAGAGACCCTGTGATTCACGTGGACTTGAGTTCTGGGAGAAAACCCCAACAGTTAATGTTATAAATGATATTCTTAAAATACAAGATAATTACTTGTATTTTAATTCTTCAATATTTGTCTCCTTCCATTCTGTGTGACAGTAAATGTTCGAATGCATTGTAAACGAGCCTTCTCTCTTAATCATACCTGTAAATATCAATTTACTCACAGCTGTTTCCATTTTTCGGATATTTCCACATGTGCATATATCAATGACATGTCGGGACTTTATTCTGCAGGTTCTAGGAACGTCAATATAAAAACATATATTTCCCCTATAAATATTGTAGATTATTTTTCTACCACTAACAGCTTAGTACTGGTCAGCCAACTTCTAAATGTGTCCATGATTTTATTCATCAGACCGATGTCCAGAATCACCGCATTCTTTCCCTTTGGAAGTTTCACTTTCCCCGAGAGAACGTCCTGCTTTTTCACCTTTGGCGACTTAAATATTTCTTTTAAAATGTTTATTCCAACATTGCGGAATGTTTTCACTTCTTTCGTTTGTTTACGGACGTTTGTCGTTAAGGCAGAGCCATTAGCGTGTTTAAAAACGGGAGGCGACTCTGACGGTGTAGTTAAGTCGTTGTTATCTGTTGTGAATGGATCGGGAATCTCTAACTCACTCACTATATTTGATGGAGAACTTGGTTTAGATTCTGTTTGCTTTGTGTTACCTGGGAGACCTTTACTGTTATGTGGGAGACCTCTAATGCCTGGAGCTTTTCGTCGAATTGTACTTTCGGTGGTAACGGAATTAAGGCGTGGCACTTTAGAAACCGAATCCTTCACGTGATAAGGGGTAGACAACATCACGTCTGTGGCGTTTATTTGCTCCAGTGTTGGTGGATACACGGTCTTAGTATACGTCCCAGGGACTTTGTTTGGATCCGCGTTAATGATGTCACTGAGCGATCTTCTCTGTGTGAAATCTGGCGGGAAGAAGATCTGGCTGATCTTATAGACAGTGGTGGTCAGTCCCCGTGGTATGGTAGGATAGTATAAAGTCGGGGTCACGGTCCGCGGCACTCTAGTGCTTGTTTTCTGTGTTGTTGTTGTTGTTGTTGTTGTTGTCGTTCGGGGAGCGGTCGTTGTTGTTACTTTAGTTGGGTTTGTTGTCTTTACTTTTATCGGGGTGGGGGCCGGTATTGGTGACCGTTCATTGGATGGATACACAGAAGGAACAGGTGGGAACTTAACTGTTGTCTTCTGCTCCGCTCTGTTGACTTCTGTAGGAGTAGTTTTCGTCACATCTCCAGATGGATGATCTCTCTTTGCTGGGTTTGCAGTGCTAGATATCTTTTTATAATAAATCGGCGGCGGTGGTGGGGGCGGGAGGAGAGACATTAGAGCCGACATAACCTTCCTGTCTTTTGTTTGGTTTGCTGGACGTAGTCGGGTTCTTTGACTTGGACGCCTCGTTTTAGACGTTGTTGTGTCAGTAATCGCAGGTTTCCTTGGTAAAATGCTGTTACTTTTGAACACATTGACATTTTGTGCATTCAATTCCTCAGGATTTATTTTCCTTTTGGCTGTTTTCTGTTTTATCTCCGTTTGTTCTGATAAGGTATTATCCAGGTCTATTTTTACCTGAGCGTCTGTCTGAGAACGAGACAAGTCCTGGTTTCCCGCCATTTTGCTTTGAACATCCTGACTTTCTGCTATAATTCGAGGAGGCGTTACTTCCCCTTGCTCCTTGGCTGGTATAAAGTTACTGTCAACCAGCTGTATATCTTCTGTTATTCCTATACTCTTCCTTTTGCCTTTATCGCGTTCACTGTTACCTTTCAGAAGAAATTGTATTTTGGATTCGCCATTTTTCAGCAATGTTCCCATATTTTCTATTAGACTATTCAAGACAAAGTTATGATGTACCACGTTTTTGACCTCAGTGTAAAGGTCAGTCTTATGAAGGGCAGTGGAATTCGTCTCATTGCTTGGAGTGTAAGGTTCAAAAGTTGGCAAATTTTCGTTCATGTAAATTTTCCCTCCGTCTTTTCCCAATTTGGTATTATTGAACTGTGTTACCTTAAAATTAGAAGAGGAGTTACCCTTGAATTTATTCCCTAATTTATTCAGCGTTGTACTCCAGGGGTGTGGCGTTGGACCATGTTCTCTCATTTTGATCTTTGTTGAGGATTCAACTTTTGTCGATGTTCGGTTTAACTTCAGGTTCACGTTGGAGGAAAAATTTCCAAAAAACTTTTGCTGGTTGATATCATGCTTTTCTTTAGATGTACGTGGCGGATCAAGCTTTTCTTTAGCTGTAAGTGACGGATCAAGCTTTTCTATAGCTATTTCAGGTCGCTGCGGATCCACGATATGTGTAGGTGATGTCTTCCGTGACCGGAAACTTATTTTTGGCTTCTTGATTTCCAGTTTGCTTGGGAGACTATTAGAAAAGCCTTTATATTTATCCATCTTCTCATCTGGGAAGAAAATCAGGTAGGGCACAACGTCTGGTATATCTTCTTCAGAAGGCCCAGAAGCTTGGGAAGCTTTAGTTTTAGTTGATACAGCTTCTTTATTTTTTGCTTCTCTTTCGGAAGATAGAGGAACAGTTGGTAAAGATTTAGTTGTAGGTCTGCTGTCATTTACAGATGTAGTTACTGACTCAGATATTAATTGTACAGACCCATCTGATGGTCTGATCTGTCCTTTGTCAGATTCCGCTGTTGTTGCTTGGCTTAGCGTTGTTATAAAAGACACACGTTTTTGTTCTTCTGAAGGACCAGACATATGTTTTTTGTTTACATCATTCGGTCTTGCAGTTGTGATCCACACAAGAAGTTCCTTATTTGGCACACTTCCTGTATTATAGGGGCGTCTATTCCTTGCCCTGGTAAAGGGTTTCTCAGTTGTAGTTTTACGGAGTCCATTGTTTTGTTCACTGGTTGTCACATTGCGTACTGTGGTGTACGGACTTATTGTTGATGTAATTTTCTTAAGTCTTTTATTGTGGACACTGGCTGTGGTATACGGACGGACGGCTGTGGTCTTCCTAAGTCTTTTATTCTGTACAGTGGTTGTGGTATACGGACTGACGGTTGTGGTCGTTCTCCTTAGCTTTTTGTTCTGTACTCTGGCTGTGGTATACGGACTGATAGTTGTGGTGGTCTTCCTAAGTCTTTTATTCTGTACGCTGACTGTGGTGTAGGGCCCTCTGTTGTGTACTCTAGTGTAAGGACTAGACGCTGTACCTATCAGACGTGGTCGCTTCCTTGTCCCCAGAAATTTACTGAACTTGGAAAAGAATCCCGTTCCTCCACCAAATGGAGGAGGTGGAGGCGGAACAAAATATTTACCTCTGTTTTGTTGTTTACGTGTATTGGTTGATAGTTTAGTTGATTTGGTCGTAGGAAAAGTTGTTCTTGTGGTTAGAAATTTAGTTGTAGATGTTTTTGCTTGATTTCCTTTAGCGACTGGTGTCATTGTGCTTGATGCAGCTGTTGTTGTCGGTGGTAATTTCGTGGTTGTTGATGGTAATTTTGTGGTTGTTGATGGTAATTTTGTTGTCGGTGGTATTTTTATCCTTGTCATTGGTAATTTTGATGTTGTTGTTAATGTTACCTTTGCAATAGTCGTTGATGTTGTTGTTGTAGGTTTACCTGTTGTTGTAAGTAGTATTGTTGTTTTAGATTGCTGTGGTGCAGTTGTTGATAAAGTGGCTTCAGCTCCATCATCAGATGCAAAAGTTGCCGACGTATAAGTTTGAATAAAAGCTTGATTAACCCCAGTATTTGCATTCACCGACATATATTTCATTGGATCTGCTGATGTTGTTTCCGGTCCATTGATTGGTTCCGGTCCATTGATTGTTATCACAGACACACTGACTGCCTGGTCATCCGTCTGAAAGGGATCGTCTAACTTAAAGAAGCTACTGACATTATTCGGCAGATACTCCGTGTCCTTCGGAACATCCAGAATATCCTCGATATCCTTCGTGACCTTGGAAAGGAAAAACTGACCAAACAACGAGGAGGACAATCCCTCCAGAGGGATTCCGGTCGGGTCATATCCAGTTATATTTGTCGGGTCATTAAAAATTGGGGTAAATTCTGCCTGTATTAGCCTTCGTGGTGTTGTTGAGGATGATAAAGATGGCGGTTTGTTTGTGGTTGTTTGTTTTGTTTTCACTGTAGGTTTCACTGTTGTTATTGGTTGCTTTGGAGCGGTTGTTGTAATTTTGGAGATCGGTGTAATTATTTTTACTGCATCATCAG